TGATAATTTGCATAAATTTGCTCGTGGGTTGTTTTCTGTTTTTGGTACTACTTATTTATGTGAGAAAACGTTTTCCAAGATGAAGTACACAAAGAATGTTTACAGATCTCAATTAACCGATGAGCATCTTAAATCTCTTTTGAGCTCTTTTGAACTGGTACAAGTAAAATCGATCCACAATTACAAAGTATTGTCGGTGGAGAATCACAATTACATAAATCTCATTAGTCATTGGCTGTCGCGGGCCGAATTGATGACACTGGCGGGCCGGATTTGGCTCGCGGGCCGTGGTTTGGAGACCCTTGATTTAGACTATAGTCAGTCGCGGAAAGTGAATTTTCACTTAAAAATCTCTTTTTTTCAACTGATAGCCAAGAACTCGTGATACTTTCCAAAATGATTATTCATCTGTTTAAAAATCTGTTTGAAATCTGTTTAAAATCTGTTTGAAATCTGTTTAAAATCTGTTTTTTCGTTAATCAGCTGTCGCCCCGAAACGAACGACAACTCTCAGAAGTTCAACGTGTGATTCCTAGCATTCATACATTTACAGTTCAAACAGACTAGTCTAAACAATTCGAGTGAATCGAATAACCTATATAACGAATATATTGGAAAATTTGCTTTCCATAAACGTGATTATCAAACTGATAATTAATATTTGCGTTTCAGGTTTTTGGTTGTTGAGAGATGAGAAATCCGAAGGATGGACAAGGGGAATGGACATACTTACACACGTCCCATGAATTAGGGAGGTTTCAATTGAAATCTCTCTAACTCAAAACTGAAAATTCCAACTGACAAAATCATTAGTTATCCAACACCAGACAGCGTTCGACCAGCCATAGGTATCATCCGTGGTGCCAAATTGAACCACAAATGCATTTTTGAACTCTTTTGTCCTTAGAAGACTGAAAAATAGTGATCTTTCCCCACGGGATCGTCAGAACAAGATTCTTCGTTGGTCACACAGTAGCTTTCGCAGCAAGGCATCCAGATAATTTTCAGTAAAAACCGCTATGAAAAGAGAGAATGTATGTCGTTCGGTGGTGAATGCCAAATTTTTCATTGCACATCTTCCCCGACAGCAGGAGGTTGCATATCTTTATGAGGATCTAGAGGTGATTTCGAATTAGGGTGGAAGTAACCAGGTTCAATTTAATGCCACGAAAACCCGGCTTTCTCCAAAAAAGAAATGTCTCCGAGCTAGATATGATGATGTCAGGACATACAATTCCGCTTTCTACTTCGATAAATTTGTTCGGGGTTGAAATGGACACCAATATGTCTTGGCACAATCATGTTGCTGAAATTGCAAAGACAGCTTCTCAAAAACTTGGAACACTGTTCCAAATCAAGAAACTATACAAACTTCCATAAACTGGAGCTCCGCTCCAAAGCATACCCTGAATCTGCTGAATTCCAGCAATAATAGAGCTATCCCTTCGATTGGAGATGTGAACATCACTGGCAGCCTCGATAGTCCGGAACATCGAAGGTTGGAGATTTGTCTCTCTTTTACAGATACTTTCACGGGAGGTCTTCAAGAAGGTCGCACGTTTAAATCCACCACGAGTGGCTCATCGTTTTGGGGTTCAACTCAGTATACCTCGAACTTCACTGTTCGAAAACTCTTTCACTTGGAGAACTGCGTTTATATGGTATAAACTTCCTGAGAACGTTTTTCCAAATGAATATAATCTCCAGCGATTCAAATTCAACGTGAATCGCTACTTCCGCACAGGCCCTGCCCTTAAAGCGTCTTGAGGATTTTCCTGTAGTGCTTGTGTTTTGTTCTTATGAAAAAATAGACTGCTTTGGAGGGCATCGTTCATGGAGGAGATTTTCATGGGAGTTTTTCGTGTAGAATAATTGGGTATAATCGTTAATTTACATTTAGCTCGTTCCTATTCTACGAGCTCTTTGATTCATGTAATTGATCTGAATTAATCATTTTTGATATGAACTACTCCTGTGGAGTTGTGAACTTTTCAAGAAAAGAAACCATGGAAGCTATGCCTACTTCATAGATTATCACAAAAAATTGCCATTGGTATATTTCTATGCACAAGAATTTGATTATTGTGTTTTTTATTGCAGATAAAGGCACACGAATGCAGTTTCAATTATATTACGTTATGTCAAAAGTTTTGTCAGTTTTATGAGTCCAATTTGAACTGCAATATCTCAGTGAATACTTATTCAATTCAACTGAAATGAGTTCCATTCGAATCAGTATACTTTTGCCAACGTAACACGAGTCGATTATTTTCGTCAGCATAAAACTTGTTAGCTCGGGATTCGACGGAGGCCGTTTTTGTCGGGTCATGATAGACGAAGGTTCTACCGGTGAGAAAGTTATCGAAGAGCTGGAAAAGATGGTAGTCGGTTGGCGAGAGATCTGGGAAGTATGGTGGGTGAAGCAGAACTTCGACGCTCAATTCGTTACATTATTTGACGGTGATTTGTGAAACGTGCGCATGGGCGTTTTCTTGGAGCAGGATCAGACCTCTTCTGTTGACCAGTGCTGGCTGCTGGTGACGCAGTTTTCGGTATATTGCACCGATTTTCTCACAATATTACTCTGCTGTGATGGTTTGATTGTTTGCAGAAAGTTATTGTGACTCACACCAGCCGCTGACCATCATACAGTAACCATGATAATTTTTTTGTGGGTCTTTTAAACAGATTTTAAAGTGCCTGGGTGGCACACACGTGTCCAACCATTGTTCCGACGTCTTCTGTTGTAGAGGATCTACACGTGACAATTCGATTTAAAAAAAGATCGCTTTAGTTGCGTGAAAGCAAAGAAGAACTGACCTCAAAACATAACAATTCCTGCCGATGGATCAAATCGTGGGGCACCCACTTCTCGAGTTTTTTGACTATTCTAATACGTTTTGAACCATTAAAATGCGCATTGGAGCAGATGCCCAAATATTTCGATTACACGTCCGTTTCTGTCTACAGGACGGGTCAAGTTTTCGTTGGAACGCCCTGTATATTTTTCATCAATAAAACATACATGTCATTCAAAGAGATACTGGGGAACATATGGATGCTTATCGAACTGGTTAGCACTAAATCACGTATGCTTACAAACTTTTCAGGTTTTATATACAGTGGCATCCCCAAAGTATGCACCATATGGGAAACTTATTCATTAAGGGTTTTCGACAAAAAGTTATTCCTGATAAAAGTTTGTGCATCCCCTGAAACTGAACATGCACCAACAAAATACAGTACAACATACGTAATATACGAGGAGACAAAATATGTGTTTTAAGTTGAATCTCCAGAAAATCAATGTGTTTATTCCGAAATGCCTATTTTATTTTGATGTTTTGTGATTTGATATTATTGAATATTAAGTTCTTGTTACAATACTGTATAATTTCGAGTAATTTTCGGTGTTAACAAAAAATAAAAATAATTCTGCACCGAAAACTTTGAAAAATTATTTTACTCTTCAAAAAATTTTACCATGGTTAACACCATAGTTGTGTAATTTGTAATATTGCAGGCTTTCAAAATAAACCGTCGTATACAGGATACTGTGTTTTTATCGTTTTAGCAATTTTTTTTGTAGTTCCCCATTGAAAAAAATGGGTAAAAAACTAAAACTTCACTTAGATAGCTATGACTTCAAATATAGATGAATTTTTCAATGCTGAAAAACTTTTCTGAGATTTTTCAAAATAAAAGTACTCTACTCTTGTCTCAAAATCAAATATTTGAAGGCTCCTCGTATATTACGTATGTTTTACTGTAATTCATTGGTTCATGTTCAGTTTCAGGGGATGCACAAACTTTTATCAAAAATAATTTTTTGTCGAAAAACCCTTAATAAAGACCAGAGAAGTCTAGTGCAGCTCAACATACCTTCCCATTCCAAACAGCCCGTCGTACACCCTCTTATGTAATGATTATTATTAGATTCCAAGTGAATACTACTACATGGACTGAAAAGTCTCGGCCTAACACATAGATGGCGTTAGTCTTATTGCATTCACCGCTTTTTCAGTTAGTTGGTTTGCTGACTTCAAACGTAGTCGTGGAGACACCAATGATGCAGAATACACTGGATGTCCAAATGAGGCAGTAACCCCAGAAAACAAAAAAAAAATCACAAATTTGTTCAGGATGGTCGAAAAGTGAAGTTCCGTGGGTTAGTTGACATTGTAAAGATATCAAAAGAACGTGTTGGCCATAATTTGCATGAGCATTTGTCTATGGGAAAGCTCTGTGCAAAGTTGGTGCCATAAACAAGAAAGTCTCGATGATTCTGAGCAGTGTTTGGCCATGTTTAAACGTAGCAAACCAAAATTTTTGCGTCGTTATGTGACAATAGATGAAACAGGGATCTATCACTACAATCCAGAATCAAAACGATCGTCATCTGAGTGAAGTACAACTGGTGTAACTTGCCCAAAGCACCCGAAAGGACAATCATCGGCTGGAAAGGTTATGGCCTCGGTATTTTGGGATATGCGTGGTGTAATATTCATCGACTATCTTTGGCAGGAAAATACCATCAATAGTGAATATTATATTGGAGTGTTTGAAGGTCGAAATTGCACAAAAAAACCTATTTGGAAATAAAAGTTGCTTCAATGCCCAGCGACTACTGGTTGTTCGCAGACCACAAAAAATGCTCACCGGTAAGGAATTTCGTTCAAATGAAGAGGATATTGCTGAAACTGCGGCTTATTCTGAGGAAAAAGATAAAAAATAAAATGATGAATAAAGCCGATATTGAACAAAGACAACGCGTTTTCTTTCTTAGGAAATATTCCTTTTCATCTTCCATATGGCAATTACCACAACCCGATAAGGTTTGTTAAGTTATTTTTTGTTTATTAAAACGTCAAAAAATGTCAGAAAAACAATGAATATTGTTCAGTTAGAATCTTCTCATTTAGTTTTTGGTTTTACTAGTAGAGAGGTATCACGTCAACAATCTCTGAAATGGTCAATTCTCGTCCACTGAAAGAAAATATTGAAGCGATTTTTATTTACGGTGCGACGCGTAACTTCCACGAGAATTTCTGTAGAAAATGTTTGAGGGAACTTGTATTCAAATTCACAACTACCGGTAATGTATACAGCAAAAAGCCCCCAGGTCATCCGTCCATTACGGAAGAACAGCAAGTGCAAATAATTGGTGAGATGGTAGTAAATCCTAAACAGTCTACTTATTCGGACGCGAATGTTTGTGAGTTGTTTCCTTCTACTGCGTGGAGACTTGAAGATGAATAGGTATCATCCATACAAAATTAAAATGGTACACCAATTAACTGAAGATGACCCTGATATTTGTTTTAGTGAAGAATGTAAATTTTTTTTAACGAAAATGTTCACAGACAAAATTGTTGTTAGCAGAGTGACACCAACCCTCACGTTTTCCGGAAAACACATACCCAATATCCAGAAAAAATAACGTTTGGGTAGGCATATTGGGAAACCATATTGTAGGACCTCTATTTATTGATCAAAATTCAAAAGGAGACCTGTATTTGAATGTCTAGAAACTACTGTGACCCTCTCATCACTAAAATCTTCGAAGCGAATCCTAATGTATTCGATTTGGATATTGTATTCCAACAAGATCTAGCACCACCACATTACTCCAGAAAAGTAAGAAACCATTTGGATACTACTTTTCCCGGTCGTTGGATTGGGTGTCGAGGTCCTACAGAATGGCCAGCTCGCTCGCCAGATTTCACACCTTTGGACTTTTTTTTATGGGGCTTTTTGAAGCAAAAGGAGTACGAAACTGAACCTGCTTCAATATTGGATATACGGAAGAGAACGATAAATATTTGCAGAAATATTGACGTTACTGTGTTCGAAAATGTTCGGCGTGAAATATCGAATAGGCTGTTCATATGTCAGGAAGTTCAAGGCAACCATTTCGAGCATCTTCTGAACTGACCTCAAGCTTATTACCTCATATTATGCAGTTGAGTGTCAATGTATTCAGGCAATTATTGAAAGTTTCGCCATTTTGTAGTAGTTGAAGATATTGACATTATACTCTAGGGCTGTGAAGCATTTGTCAGGAGCTTTAAAAAATGTGTCACAAGATTCCCCTTTCCATTTAATATTTTTCTCAGATGGCGCCCAGCATTGAAAGTCAGTTTCCATCAGCCCCTGATGATGATAAGTAGGTTAGCGAAACGCACGATGAGATACACTATTTTTAGTTCCGATGAGGTAAAAGTGTTTTCTTTAGATTTCTTTAAATACCGTGTTTCATGTCTGTAATCAACAAGCAATTTGCTAAGTGACGTTTTCATTTATGACATATGGATATTATGTTCCTTCATTGGTAAATCATATTTAAGTAGAATAATATAATACGAAAAATGACAACATTGATCCTCCCTGGCGATATTCCCAAGAATCCATGTAGAAATAGATACAGAATGTGTTAAAGTTCATTTTTTGTCATCTCGATTCGCCAATAATATTCATGATCACTTAAAATACCTTCTGTGTTAAATGGGGTTTGGTGTAATATTTTTCGCTTTGGTCCCTTACGAATTCCGTACTTTCACATTTTGGTGGATGCCGCCGGGAGCACAGTGAAAGGGTGATCCGTAACGATCTCCCAAGGGTTTGATAGAATTTTCAGATAAAAGCGGTATTACGGCCGGATAAAAAAAATGCTCTATCGAATGGGCACATTTCACTCAAAAACTCGTTGGGTAGGGGCTGGCAGCGGATGTCACGCGATAAAGTGGTTATAAAACTATGATTGATAAATGAATGGTACGACGAATATACAGGGGACCAATGGAAACAAAACACGGCCGAATGTTTCATTTAAAAGGTCATCGATTTTTCTTTTTTACAAGACATACCTAGAATTGATGCACAAGATATTGAGGATAAAACGTTATGAAAAATGAAAATTTGACGAAAACGAATGATCGTTATTTTAACTTTCAAGATTAAAGGTGACGTTCAGTTATTCTGGTGTTTATCAAGAATTGTGTAGGACTTAGAATTCGATGGTTTCTCAAAAATTAATATATTTTTCACAATCCTCCTTTTGAAGAAGTGACGAATTATCAATAGTATGAGGTTGAATCCTTAAGCTGTGCTAAGTACAAATATTTCCACAAAAATTGTGTTACAAGAAGTTCGGTGAACGTTTATGGAAGTAAGTAAGTATGGTGACTTGTCAATAACTTATAGCATCATTCATTTCACGATATCCAGTCCATGAAATTTTAATACTTTTCCTGAGCAGAAAAATTGCAGAATCAATACTCCTGACTGATCTGGATTCAATAATTCTGTACAATCTATTTCGTCTTGTGTTTGTAGATCTTTTGCTGGAAAAAGCCTCATTAGTTTTCTTTATAGTACATGTAAAAGAGGTAGCGAAACGTACATGACTTTCTAGTAGATCTTCAACTAGAATTTCCTAATATGACTGATAACCAATCGGTGCGGAGCTTATTGTTGAATCACCTGAAAATAGAACTTTTAACGGGTGATAATCAACTGTATTACCAAATATGCGCCAAACTAATTGACTATTATGAGACAACAAGTATAGCTGAGGCATTAGCCAATCTAATAATGACACTGATGATCTTCAAACATGACTCAACCTCTGACGGTAGCAGCAAACTGTTACGAAGGTTTGAAATAGATGAACACTTCAATCTAGCAGACCACTATCATAATCTTCATGCAGCCATTGTTCATTGTGGTTCTTCCGTTGAATCTGGTCATTATTACTTATTGGTCAAAGACGAAACGGACTGGTTTGGCGATAGTCGTGTCATCAAGTGTTCTGGCGATGTCTTGAATTCATTGGAACCTCTGGAGACACCCTATATTTTATTCAATGGATGAGAGTACATTGGCAGATCATGATCTGCAATGCATTTACTGAGCAATATGATATTTATTCTTGCCACTGGCGTTCGTAAGAGATTTGCATTGAATCATGTTAAAAAGAAAGTGATACGCTACTGCTTTCCCTTGAAAAACAATTATTTTCGAAATCCACATTCCCTTTGGTGCATTGTAAATCCAATATGGAAACAGCTACAAAATGGCGGATTACATATATTTTCACAATTAACTTAATATGGGTATCAAATGTCAGGGCTTGACTAGAAGAATAGTACACCTTGAAAAAGATGCAAAGTCAAGATGACCGCAGCTACAAAATGGCGGATTACATTTCACCTTATAATAATGAAGTACTAAACAGTATGAGAAAAATTGAGTAACGAAATTAGAAACTGAAAACTTGAAAATAAAATTAGTAGAAAAGTTTGGGTTGAAGGTTTTTTTGAAAAAAAAAGATAAAAACTATGTAGATAATGTACTGAAAACTAAAAAATAATCCGAAAGATCCTAGGTAGCCGTCATCACACCACTCTTCTCAGAAATCTATAGTATTGATCAGGGGTTATATTGTTTGGAAAAAAAGTTTTTGGCTTCCTACTACTATATNAATAGGGATTCTTATTTGTTTTATGTATTGCTTTCTATGAGTTTTATTTCTCATTTTGTGGTTTCCAAGAAACAATAAATTGGAAGATATTTTCTTTTCACATATACTGCGAATTCTCAACTACCAATTAACATTTGTTGAACTGAGTAGTGGGAACTTATTATAAAATAAAGTTTAATGTTTCAGTGTCATTCATGCTACTCAATTCTTAGCTCTTCCAAATGTATGAAACTGCTCCAAAGATGTTGGTTCTTGATGATTAAGAATATTTTGTTACGTTACCGGATTTCACATTTTCAAAAAAGAAACATGAAAATTTGAACTGATTATAATAGCCAGCCAATATATAGCATAATCTGAAATATATCTTGCATCAGCTTCGAGTAATCAGTGGAGGAACAAAATATAGAGAGCGAATTGATGGTAATATTACAACAAAGCCTTCTTTTTGCTGATACCGACATCGTCTATGATTTAGTTTCGACAACAATCCGGAATGTGAAAGGATCTATAAATACTATGAAGCAGGAGATACCGCGGGCATAAAATGGCGAGAATAAGTGAGCAACACAGTTTTGTGACTTTTGTTACAATTAACTAGTTCCAAGTAGTTAGTGTGTGGACAGAGCGGTAGAAGCCGCCACAGATTCAAAAACGTTGATTTCACAAGTTTAAATTTGTGCCTGATAGTAGAGGGTGAGTGTGTGATAATATTTTATTCAAAAATGATTGCAAAACTAGATCTTCCTTAAGATAATCATATTTAATGTCGTATACTTGTATCATGTGGAGCAAGTTGAGAGAAAGACAATATGAAATTTCCGAAAACTATTTCAAATTCAGTTCCGTTCAACTCGAAAGACAACCTCCAATTTGATATCATATAGGTAGAACTCACTTCAGTAAATTCTTTCAACTTGTTGAAAATGACATGTTGACGTACTGACATTAAAATAATACTTATACCAAATAATTTATTGAATTTGGGGTAAATTTATAATTGAAATCGTCTTGTAGAATACATATGATCAATTTCCACTAGAATAAATGACAATAACATTAATATCACAAATTATTTGAACATTTGTTGAACATTTATATAATGATTGCAAAAGGAGTAATTGAAAAAAATATCGAGGATATTTCATCTTTCATAAAAAATAGATAGGTACTGGACTTGTACGTACGTTCGATAGGTACGGATTTGTTTCAAAAAGAAACAAACAATAAACTCTGGCATAAAATACAAGTGTGCAAAGAAAAAAATTATTGTTAGATGAAATGAGGTTTTACCAAAAATAATTTAGCAAAAATATTTCAGATCACTCTATACACACATGCAAACATGGGGTTTGGAATTGTAGTTGACAACTGAAAAATAAAACTTGAAAAGTTCACAAACATGAAACGAAATATTGAAGATAAATGATAATGATTGAAAATGAGTAATTTTGTTTTGAGTTCTTTGAATTTAGTAGAAATTATGTAACTTTCACTTATTCCAATGAATCATTCACATTTCGATCCATAATGATTCATTTTTTTCACCGATTGGCGTTTGCATGTCAGTTTTTTGTTCATTTTTCTAATCTTTGATTTCAAAGATGAGTGACAAATGAAAGAGAATCATCTCTTGACCTTTGACAGAATCACATTGACGGTAATTTAAGATAAGATCATGGTCACTGATAATAAAGTATCAGGTCCATATAGTTATTTCGATGAATCTTCTTGACTTTTGACGAAACTGACTTTACTATTGCGTTCTTCCAATAGAAACGAAAAGCTCCGTTTCCATGGGATATGAAAATGACATGTTGACGTACTCACATTAAAATAATACTTATACCAAATAATTTATCGAATTTGGGGTAAATTTATAATTGAAATCGTCTTGTAAATACATATGATCAATTTCCACTACAATAAATGACAATAACATTAATATCACAAATTATTTGAACATATAATGATTGTAAAATATCGAGGATATTTCATCTTTCATAAAAAATAGATAGGTACTGGACTTGTACGTACGTTCGATAGGTACGGATTTGTTTCAAAAAGAAACAAACAATAAACTCTGGCATAAAATACAAGTGTGCAAAGAAAAAAATTATTGTTAGATGAAATGAGGTTTTACCAAAAATAATTTAGCAAAAATATTTCAGATCACTCTATACACACATGCAAACATGGGGTTTGGAATTGTAGTTGACAACTGAAAAATAAAACTTGAAAAGTTCACAAACATGAAACGAAATATTGAAGATAAATGATAATGATTGAAAATGAGTAATTTTGTTTTAAGTTCTTTAAATTTAGTAGAAATTATGTAACTTTCACTTATTCCAATGAATCATTCACATTTCGATCCATAATGATTCATTTTTTTCACCGATTGGCCTTTGCATTCAGTTTTTTGTTCATTTTTCTAATCTTTGATTTCAAAGATGAGTGACAAATGGAAGAGAATCATCTCTTGACCTTTGACAGAATCACATTGACGGTAATTTAAGATAAGATCATGGTCACTGATAATAAAGTATCAGGTCCATATAGTTATTTCGATGAATCTTCTTGACTTTTGACGAAACTGACTTTACTATTGCGTTCTTCCAATAGAAACGAAAAGCTCCGTTTCCATGGGATAGAGAAATGGTGCAAACTCATTGGAGTGTATTTCAGATGCTTTGTTAATATTTATAAGTCGTACTTTTTCTTGCCGACACCATTTGAAACCTTAGTTATAACTCGTAAAACAATAATTGAAAATATTAGTACCTAAATATAAACACTTTCAAACAATTAATTTAGGAACGGTTTCAGTAAAAATCACGTTTCAGTATCAGTTATTGACAATTTTTTCACTATAATAATCTTTTTCGTTCACACCAAATGAAAATAGGTATTTCAACGAAACGATGCCATTTGGCTTTTTTTTCTCTTCAAAATCAATTTAAAAACAACTCTATACAAAGATATATAAATCATACAGAGAAATAACTTTCAGACACACATTGAAAGGAAAGTTCTATCGAAACAGCTACTTTCATATAAACATTAAATTACACAAAAAAAATAGTTTAGAAACAAATACTTTTATATGAACACTGCATTATACAATAAATAATGTACTCTATTCAGTTTGTATTCCAAACATTCGTTATGAAATCGAATCATATATTATTCACAGGATTGCTAAATAATATAGTGAATGGAAGAAATAAAATTTCACTTACATGGAACACTGTCATCCTCACGAGTAGTCATCCGATGTTTCGTCGTGAGACACTTGCCTTATCGATTCTTCAGTACCAAATTTGAATGATATTATAAGACAAAACACTCTATTTATCCATAAAATTACGACTTTGAAATCCCTGAAATAACTAAAAAAGAAGAATTAAGAATTAAAGGAGAAGAAGAATAAAAATGAACAGCTGAAAAAACAATTATATTAAGCTCAATATAATTAAGCCTGATATAATTGTTTTTCAGCTATTAAATAAAAATGAATTGAAATGAAATGAAAGGAAATTAATTTATTCAAAATTCAGTTGATTTTCAAAAAAAGTATCATCTGATTTTCACAATCAATTATAGTGAATTGTTTTTTCTTCGTCAATAAATACTGCATTCTCTCTCCTTTCCTTTGATGTAATCCACGTGGCTATCCAATTATTATTAACGAAAATGCGGCTTAGTGACCTTTTGGCATGTCACCATCTTTGATTTTTGTCTATTCCACACTGACGTCATGAATTATGACACTATCATTGACTTCCAAAAATGTTGTCGATTTATAAATTTTGTCAGAAAAACGATTGAATGAACCAACAATTTTTTCGTTCGGAACTTATTTGACGAGATGTAGAAGATTTTATTTCAATGTGCTCGTTTGAAAAAATATGATACATTTCTAAATCATTCAATATAACTTTTTCAGTAACTAAAAATATATCGAAGCCATGCATGACCACCTGTGTGAAATGAATAGTTAACAAAAGAAACTAAATTATTCGAAAGATACGGTCTGTTATACACAATTTAGAAGAATATTTCGCATTACACTAAAATAATTCGAGAACAGAAATTGATCGGAGAAAATAATATTATAGTGATATATTGCAAAAACGAAGAATATATGGAAGGAGATGAAATCATCGTTTTTTCAAGGACAAAACGTAAGCACTACAGGAAAATCCTTAAGGCACTCTCAGAGCGGTGCCTATGCAAAAGTAACGATTCACATTGGATTTGGATCGTTGAAGAATAAAAACATTCGGAAAAACATTCTCAGGAAATTCATCCCACATAAACGCAGTTCTGCAGACGAAAGAGTTCTCAAACCGTGAAGTTCGAGGTGTACTAAGTTGAACCTCGAAACGATGAGCAGCCACAGATCGTCGCGTATTTCTCATATGTACCGCTCTTGGTTACATCAAATATGCCAAGTCTCTCGAACACCTCCCGTGAAAGTATTCATTGAAGAGAAACGAATCTTCAACCTCCCTTCGATGTTCCAGGTTATCAAGGTTGCACGTGGTGTTATCGTCTCCAATCAGGCGGATGGAATCCATCAGCTACAGGGTATGTTTTGGGGCAGAGCTCCATACATGAGAACAATACTCCAAAGAAGGCCTGATCTGGGATTTATAAAGCATCAGAAGTTGTTGAGGTGTGTGCAGTTTTCAGGTTCGGAACAGTGTTTCAAGCTTTTGAGAAGCAACCTTTGCAATTCCAGCGACATGATCGTACCAAGACAAATTGGTGTCCATTTTAACCCCCAACAAACTTATCGAAGCAGAAAGCGGAAATCTCTGATCTGACATTATTATGTGGCATTGAATTTAACTTCTAGATCCTCATAAAGATGTGCAACCTCCTTCTGCCGGTGAAGATGTGCCTCTGTAGTTGATGTCCTGGAATCCGAATGGTTTGGCGAGACGAGTGTGCTGCCTCAGCAAAAACAATATATTGTACTTCTGTTTTTTTTTTCAATAAGTCGTTAATATACAATATCGGTATCGGACTATATTGAAACACAAAAAAGAGTACCTACTCTCTGAACACAAAAAACCTTTTCGACTTGTGTATACCGATAATACATCAGTATTTGCTGTATATGCACTCGGAGAAAGCATCCACATCATCGCTTTCGAAGGAACTTAGATACTCGATATCACACGGAATTACTATCTCAGACTCTCTATTGGAAATAATTCTGACATACCAGAACAAAAATGCTGTATCCCAATGCGCGTTTTGCTAACCAAGTTAGCTTCATCGGGAGATGACCAAGGCTTTTCAGGAATATCATTAAACTTCAGAAATACAAAAACAATTTCGAAAGAAAGCAAGTGAGAATTAAAATGCCTGTCTGCCCTGGGTCGTAGACGCAGGACAGAGATATCAACCTGCTTAGAAACCTATGCGACTGTATTTCAAGCGAACATTTACGCTATTGAATTGTGTGCGGTGAGATTGCAAGAATCCAACCTCATACACAAGTCAATGAAAATATTTTCGGACAGTTAAGCGGCATTGGAAGATCTTGGCTCCTACCGAGCAACGTCTACATATATAGCAAATTGCCAAAAACAACTCTCCCCGATAGACAGACTTAACAGATTGTATGTGGTCTGGATTCCTGGCCTGGAAGGCAATGAAGCTGCTGACTTCCTTCCAAAGGA